AATGGAAGCATATTTTATGATGAAAAACAATAACATAAATATACACCAATTCTCTCAACAATTAGCACACAAATTTCATGTCCTTCCATCAGAAAGTGATGGAGTGTTACTTCTGACAAAAGCCAGGCATGGTAGCACAAGCCTATAATCCCAGCACTTGGGAGGCTGAGGCAGGAGGATCATTGCAGTTCAAGGCCAGCTTGGGCTGTAAAGTCAGTTCAAGGCCAACCTGATCTGCAAAGTGCATAGCGAGACCTTGTCTCAAAAAGTCAAAAAATAAAGAAAGAAAAAAAGAAGTTAAAGGACAAATAAAAAGATTAAATGACAAAAGGACAAACTTTCATCATATTCTCTCCCACCCACACTTGGGGAAAAGCCAGCTGCCATGCTGTGGGCTACCCTAAGGAAAGGCCAGGCTGCAGAGAGTTGATATCTCTAGCCCATAGCCAGTGAGGGGTCTGAGGCCGGGGGAAGGGGAGGTGCCTGGAAATGAATCTTCCCCTACTGATCCTAAGGACCTGCGCTGGGCCAGCAGCTGTCATGGCAACCTTCCAGAGACCCTAAGCCAGGGATCCCAGCTAAGCCACACCCAGACTCCTGAGCAAAGACACAGGGAGATGAAGATGTTTATTGTCTTAGGTTGCTAAATGATATGAGAATTTGTTACATGGAAATAAATAACTAATACAGTAGACTGTATGACTCAGCTTTGCATTACTAAAGTAATATAAAACACTAATCTGATTAAACTTGGGAGGCCAAAGCATGAGAAAGCTGTGAATGCCTGGTGAGAAGGTGATAAGAGAGAACAGAAACCTCTGCTCCATGGAGGGAAATCAAATAATGGGGTAGAAGATGAAAAATAAAAGTAGCAATAAATGATAAAAACAATGTAACTGATTACTTCCTCAAGAAGGGTAGGGGAAATCCTAGGTTTTTTCTTTTATTTTAAAACATAAACCTTGTATAACTAGATGACCCTTTAAATTTGGAATAAATATGTATATTGAGAAAAATTAAAATTTAAAAAGATTTCTTTACCACACAATCCACATGTGGTTCTTTTGTCTGTCCTAAATTTTTTTCTCCTCAAAGTTTAAACTGGAAAATTTTCCTCTATTATTTCCCTCATGTTATGTTTTGACCTTAAGTTTCTATTTAATCCTTTCTAGTTCTTACAATCTCAAAATTTTCCATCTGTACTGAAGCTTGTAAATCCCTAAATCTCCAACCCTCTAATCCTTTTTTCCCTTTGGGTGCGTGTTGTAGTTTGAATCTGGATGTGTCATGTATTACAGGCTTGGTCACCGGCCTGTGGCATACTGGGAGGTGGTGGAATCAAGGAGGAAGTAGGGTCATTGGGGCATGCCTTTGGAGGGGACATTGGGATGCTCACCCCTTCCCCTCTCTTTCTTCTGCTTCTTATCTACCATGAGATTAGCAGCTTTGCCCCATTGTGCATTGCCTCTATGATGTGCAGCCTTGCTACAGCTCCTGGGCAATTGGAACAAGTGACCATGGACTGCAGCCTCATAAACTGTGAGCCAGACTAAGTCTTTCCTCCTCTGAATTCATCTATCTCAGGTATTTTGTCACAGCAACAGAAGTAGACTAACAGTATGTTTATGTACATTCGGGTGCATGAATGTATACGTGAATGTATGTGTGTCTGCATTGTGTGATGTGTTTATATGTGCATGTTTGCATGTCTCTGTATCTGTCTACGAGTTTGTGTATGTGTGTGCTTCTCTGTGTGTGCATGTACATATGTACACCACACAGCATCCTTTCCACTTTTTCCTTCTTCCTCATGAAGCAAGGAGTCCCACCAGTGCGTCTGTGGCATCCCATCCCGTGTCTGGCAGGAGAAGTCCTCAGTTGGTGTTGGGAACAGGAATGAGCCTCCTGGTGGTGCATACTGTCCACTATGGAGGCCTGGAAGGCACAAAAACAGATAAGCCTGAGAGAGAAAGCTGCAGGAACAACTCTGGCTGAGAAACCCACTGTAGCCCTTGTGGGGACGGGGTTGCTGGGCTCAGCATCCTGCTCCCTGAGGCAAGCACCAGGTAGCACCAAGCCGATGGCGGAGAAGAGGCCAGGACAGAAGCCAGAGGGCAGCCACATTCAGCACATGTCAGAGACCAACTCAGTGGAAGCTCCATGGAGGAAAAAGTTCCAGTCACTAAATATTCCCCCCATTCCCCACAAACAAACAACCACCACCAGCAGGGGACAGGAAGTAAAGAGGCCCCCAGCCTGACTTCTGCCTTGGGTGGTTCTGTGGAGCAAAGCCAGGTGAAGGAAACGCCCCAGCCAGTGGGGTAGATTCCTGTGAACTCTTGGATGCCAGGAACCGCTGAGTCTTCTTCATGAGCGAGGAGGCTCCGAGACTGGAGAGAACGCTCCCACTTCAGAGAGCCACGGGACCTTGGGAGTCACCCAAGTGAGCCAGAGTCTTCCACGTTGCTTGTTTAACATCTGCCTGCCTCACTCAGCCGCCAGGTGTGGGTTCTGTTCCCTACACTGAGTTCCCTACACAACAGGCCCAGATAGAACAGGGAAAACTCCAGAAGGGCAACCGAGACCCCTGGAGCTGAGAGCTGTAGCCAAACTCTGGCCCTCGGAGGGCCTTTGCCCTGAGCTACATCCCCACCTTCCTTCCTTCCTTCCTCCCTTCCTTTTTTCCTTCCTTCCTTCCTTCCTTCCTTCTTTCCTTCCTTCCTTTCTTTCTCTCTTTTTCTTTTCTTTCTTTCTTCTTTCTTTCTTCTTTCTTTCTTTCTTTCTTTCTTTCTTTCTTTCTTTCTTTCTTTCTTTCTTTCTTTCTCTTTTCTTTCTATTTTGAAAGAGAGTCTCACTAAGTGGCTATATTGCCAAGGCTGGGCTTGTGATCCTCCTGCCTCAGTCTCCCAGAGTGCTGAGGTTACAGACTTGCATCACCACACCTGGCTAGATCTCTACGAGTGTAACATTCTAGTTGTTTTTCTCACATCCATGAGAGCAGACACTGGGAGGGAGAGGAGTATAGGAAGCTGGGTTAAATAACCCTAAGTCATTGCAGGCTGATCAGGCCCGCCATCTCCCAAGCAAGGGGACGGCAAAGGCTTAAATAAATGCTACAATGTAATGATTTTAGGGCTCCAGCAGGGACTAACTCTCTTACAGCTTCAGTATTCTCTGAGTTAGCCAAAGACTGCTCTGGACGGCCTGTATTTATTAGGTTTTCAAACAAAGGAGAGGATACTCAAGAAAACGTGGGAATCTCGCAGGACATTGGGAGAATTTTCCCAAGTAGTAAATTATGTCAATCAGGAGAACTGTCTTATCTTTAGGTTGGTATTTATCGTAAGAGTGTGGAGTCTACAGCTGCAGTCTCCTTGTAAATAACTGGGGTTGGAGCCAAACGTGCTCAGCTCTGGCCTTATCTTGTCCTTTGAGGCATCACAGCTTGACAGGCCAATACAGGCCTCAGCAGTGACCAGTGACCCATAGCAGTTTATTTACTATGAGTCAACTGCCCATCTTTAGACAAGGTGCCTAAGCTTCGGATAACTCCCACGTAAACATGAAAAGCCAACTGGATGATATTAAATCCTGCTCAGAGCCACTTCATAGTGGTCTCCACCAGAGGAGCATATCACAGGAGTGATGTGCCCCACCCCCTGCCCAGTTAAACCTCAGCATGTCTTCAAGCTGGCCGCTTCCACCTGCAAGCCCATGGAGTCACCTGTTAGATTTCTGGGTGTAAAGTCACCCTCCACTTGTTGTGACATCAGTTATGCTTGTCACTGGCTTGAGGTGGCCTTGCTGCAGACTGCTCACTAAGTCCCTGTGAGGCCACACCCCCAAAGAGGAAAAATGAACAACAAACCACCCTGACCCTGTGCGAAGCCAGCAGGCACCCATGACGGGAATTAGACATGTCCGTCCATTCAAGGTTAGGACAAGGGACACTCGTGAATCATTGCACTTTTCTGTGTTAACCACACTAGTGAGGCATCCAGCTAAACTGGGGACCAAAAGAAGGAGAGATGTGAGTGTGACCATTCACTGTGACAGGAAGCTCTAGAGAGAATAATTGTAGCCAGTTCCAGCTACTGAGCCGTCCCTAGTGCTTGTCACATCCAGTCCCCGTATGTGAGCTGCTCCTATTTCTCACCACACAGACAGATGAATCTTCTACCCAAACCTCGGTCATTCTGAGGCAGACCTGGAATTCACACCAAGGGGGAAAGAGGAAACTGTGGCAGAGAGGAATGTGGCCCTAGAGACAGATCACCTGGGCTTGAGTCCTGGATCAGCCACTCACTGGTGACACGGCTGAAGCAAGTCGCTTAGCCTGTGCTGCTTCTCTCTCATGTTTGTGAGAAGAGAATAATGACAATGCCTCTGAGCATGAGTGAGAGAAGACAGCGGGGGTACAAGGAGAAGAATGGCTCAAGGACTACAGAAGCTCTGTGACTATGACCGTCTTGGTGAAAGCACAGTGTTTCCACAAAGGACACCAGGATGTTCCCATCTTGGAGCCACTTCTACTGTCCACAGGCAGGTTCAGCTCAAAGCGGAAACCAACCTTGGTAGCTCCACTTGGAAACCTGGTATAATTTCACAACGAATCCTTAAATAACCCGTGCTCCTGAGAAAACAGAGCTGGAGGCACATCTCGGGCACTAACGCCGTGAGAGGGTGAGTACAATTACAGGGCAGCAAGAGCAGGAAGAAGTAGGAGGGGAAGCCGCAATAGGGAAAAAGCAAAGACGGGTGTGTGCCCAGCTGGCCACAGCTTCAGAAGAAACACAGTTTGGTCACAAGGGACATTTTTGAGCAGATCAAATGACTTTACTGTAGCTGGAACGGATCGTAAGTGGGGGCAGGAAAGAGATGAGCAGGGAAGGGATGGGAAGTCACACTGCTCTCCATCCCCTGCCTCACAGGGGGGCATCAAGGCTAGCAGCACAAACCTGCACCCAGGTTGTTTGCACCCCTCCTGTGTACTGACTCACCTGGACCTGCAGGCTGAGGCTCCAGGCCCTCCAGGTGGTAGATGGGAGCCTGTAGCCCAACCTCACAGCATGACACCTCATCCAAGTCTGAGTGTGGTGGGAGCAGCTACGGCCAGTAGGAGGCCACTGAGTGGGCACTGAGATTAGGAAGCAGAGCTGTTGCGGTTCTCACTTCTGAGGACCTAGGGTGGCAGGAAGTGTGACCGAGTGACAGTGGGGAGGCATATGTATATATTTAGTTCAGTCTGGCCCCTTTCAATAAGGTGATCTGAGTTGTATGTGCATGTAGTGGTTTTTGTTTTAAAGTGTAGCTCAAGCAACATTATATTTTCAATGCAAGGATAGAATTGTATTTGCAGTAATAAATGTTTCTTCTCCTGGTCCCAAAGTAAAATAAAAGCATAACTCAAAATTTATGAAGTTATTCTTACCCCCGTTCTACTACCTAAATTCCCAGGGTCAACTGTAATCACTTGCAAAATCAGCCCAAATTGAAGCTTATCACATCACACATTCCAGCTTCAAGCAATAGCACTCTCCCATGTACTGGTCAGCTTCCCCAGTGCTTGACACAATACTTGACACTTACAATTTCAAGGAGAGAAGGTTTAATTTGGTTGGTGATTTGGGAGAATTCAGTCCATGCTCAGCTGCCTGCAAAGCAGAAACATCACGGTGACAAGGTGTGGCAGAACAAAGCTGTTTAGTTCATAGCGGCCAGGGTACAAAAGAGGGTAACGGTGCCAGGAAGAAGTGGACAAGGGCCCAAGTAGAGCACCCAAGGCCACACCTGCATGACCCACCCAGACATATATAGGAGTACATGCTACTAATCTGCTAGGTGCTTCTTAATCCAGGGAAGTTGACATACCCAGATCAATAGTCATGTCCTAGAAATCCTAAAATCATCTACTAGTCCAAATTTCTATATCCAAAGACTACATATTCCATTCAGAGACAACATATTTACAGACTGTGTGCCCCAATAGTATTATTAGGGAAATATAATCACTATAGTCATCATGGTGATGTAGTCAAAGGCAGGCAACTTCCCAGCCATATGGTCCACACTTTATGTTCTTGTGGGGGATGCTATTGACTGGACCTGGATGAGCTGCCCCTCCACAGGCCCAAAAGCAAAGGGCCAACTGACTATAGACGAAACTTCCAAAACTGTGAGTCAGAATAAAACTTGTCTCTATAAACTAAGTTATTGGCTACAATAGCAGAAAATTCATTCGCACAAATTCCCCAGAACTTTGTAACATTTTTTTCCATAGACGATTTCAAAGTACACAGCCTGGGCAATGATATATAAAGTTGAAGGTGCTTCATTTCATGAAGTTCATGACGATTTGAATATAAGAAAGGCCATGTGGGGGGGCTGGGGATTTAGCTCAGCGGCAAAGCGCCTGCCTGGCAAGCGCAAGGTCGTGAGTTCGGTTCCCGGTACCGGAGAAAAACCAAAAGAAAGGCCATGTGTTGTGTGGGAAAATTGAGACCAGAAGTCAGGATAATCGGTCTATCTTCCCCACACAGGCACTGATAACCTGTGTGTAACACTGGGTAGATCAGCCATCCTCCAACTTCTCCCAGTTCCTCCCCACACAGTTAGGTCAAATTCCTGCAGTGCTAGGATCCTGTGATTCTGTTTTACCATGACAAAGCAAATGAAAGCTCTGTGCTTTCAAAGGGTATTACTCCACCTCTCAAAAACTCAGAGTTCTTCAAGTTCAAAATTGAAAGGCGTACTGCTCACCACGCCTCTTCTTGCTGAGAAAGAATAAGCATTCTAACAAGGCTACCAAAGGTTTGGCTTCATATAACAGTCTGCAGAGATTTTTGTGGTTTCAGTGACTCGTGTGGCCATGTGATCAAAGGTGGAAATTCTGACCACCTGGACTGACCCCCCACAGTCCCATGGGCAGCCTCCTTCCAGGAGTCTGGCTCTCGATCTGTAAACCAGGCTGAGTGGCCACTTGGAAACCTACAGGAGGCTTCTAATTCTTACTCCAGCAAGCCCTCTAAAGTGTATTTCCCTCACGCAGTCATCTGTTGATGGACATTAGGTTGATTCCATATCCTGTCTGGTGGGAATACTGCTGCACTGAATGTGGGAGTGCAGGGGTCTTTTTGACCCATTGATACCCTTTCTTTTGGGTACGTATGCAATGGTGAGGTTGCTAGTTTGTATTTGAGTTCCAGTTTTAGTCTTTAAAAAAACATGAAATCCTATCTTTTGTGACAACATGGATGAACCTGGAAAAATACGAGAAATGGACGAGTAAACCAGGAACAGAAAGATAAACACAACATGACTTCAATCATAAATGGAATCTGTGAAAGCTGGTCTCATGCAAGTTGGGATAGAATAGCGGGTATCAGAGATGGGAGGATAGTAAGAAGCACACAGGAGAGAAGATCCATTGATGAGCAGTGCTGCAGTGAGATATGAGGACTAAGTCCTGGTGTTGGACAGCACAGCAGGGTCAGTGTGGTTAACAATGATCGTTATATGTCTCAAAAGAGTTAAAAGAAAGGAACTGGAACATATGCACTGTAAAGAAATGAGCAAAGTGTGAGGTGTTGGGTATGCTAATGAGCCTGTGTTGCTCACTGCACATCAGTTGTGCTTCAAAAACACGCACAAGTGTGATGTGTCCGTCAGAAGTGTTTTTTAAATGTTTAAAAAGTGTAGACACTCAGAGTTCATCTTAAAATTTGCAAGTCTACTTTTGCTGCCCATTAGCTCCCTGTTAGAAAAGCAAAACAACCAAAAAGGCAGAATCAAAGGCAAAAAGACAAGCTATGTGGACGAGCAGACTCCTGAGCCGTGTGGAAGGGATTTGACGCTCACCATTCAGAGCACGTGGAAATGAGCCCCCTCTACCTTTGTGATGCAGGAGTTGTCAGTAAAAGTCAGAATCCTAAATCTCAGAGGGGCAGGTTCATCTTTTGAAATCCCATTTGGGAAATGCAGCGTGGCAGTTTGGTGTTGGGTACACAGTGTTATTTATTTCAAAGTAAGATTACGCTAATTTTACTAAGTACAAAATATATTAGATATGCATGGCTCTCCCAAACCAGAAAAACACTAAACTTGGATAGAGGTTAGATTTTTTAACAAGTGTAGCATGGTTTTCCTACTGTTCCCTGTAGCTCTTCAAATAGAACATTCACTAGTCTCCACAGATGACATAAGATATAAAATTTGTATTATAAACTAGTAGAAGTAATGGCAAGACTTGGGATCTCATTAGAAAATGTTAAATATTCAACAATGTATAGATATGCCAAGGGATTTTGTGTGTGTGTGAAACTGTATTTAAAGTAACATATGTATGGTTTTACTTTTCTTAACTATAGCACATTTGTTGGATTAAGAGCCTTTTAAGACAGATGGATGATTGATTAGCTGTATTCATATTTTAAGCACTTCCTTGTATTTTATTTATAATAGGTGGGGTTTGGGGATGAGAAATATTTCTTACATCCTTCATTCACAGACCTGTAATTATTCACGCAGATGAAGTGAAGCACCTTATTTAACAGTGGTTAAACAAAGGCCAGAGATTGTGGGTGACTTTTGGGCCTCAAATCATGCATGGTTTGGCCAGGTCCCAAAATAGCAGTGTGTAGAAAGTGGATTAGGGCATGGTCGTTAACAGTTGAAGCCCAAGTGACATTTATTATAGTGGAAATATCACTGGGCTGGAAATTAAAAGAATTGAGTTGGAATCTCATTCCTACCACTTTCTTTCTGTGACTTACATCCTGTTTCCCTGTATGTAGAATAAGATACTAGGCCATATGACCTCTTTGTTCTCTTCCAGCTCTGAAATTCTGTTCTGAAGATCTAGATGGACTTCTCTGGACATAAACTGGTACCTTTCATGTAGGCATAGTTACCATTTAGCAAAAATTAGTCATAGGTTATAGTATAACCCTATGGACAGTACATCTTCTGAAATGCACATGAGGGACTCAGGTGACCATCCACTAGTGAGCACCGTAAATGCCATTTTCCATACTGTTTTATAAATGAATGGCGTTATAAAAAGCAGGGCATGATTCTATAGAAAACCAGCCAGTACCTGAGATTATATTAAAGGAAAAGTCATATAACACAGGTGAAGAAAAATTTCCACTAGAATTTACAATGGACAGTGTCTGGGAGACTTTTTCCTTCCTTTTCCTGTGACTTGAGAGAGATGTGGAGAGTTTTGGGTCAACAGATGACAAAGCACAAATTTCAACCACGGCAAAGATACCCAAAAATGAAGAATAAAACTAGAGCAGGAAAATGTTGAAGAGTGACTCAGGAATATCTCTAAGTATATAAAAGGGCAATTCCACCAGAGAGCTGACCCGTCGTTCTCCCACCTACGAAGAATAAGAGATTTGCAGTAATTGTTAATCATTCCCCATTTGTACTGGAATCTCCTGGGGAGCTTCAAGATACAGACACCTGGACCCTAGAAATTCTGATTTGATCTGTCCAGTGAAAAGGTGACCGGCACAGGAACAAGTAACTGGCTGCGGTTTTTCAGCCTAGGTGCACGGCCAGGTTTTCCCGGGCGTCCCTTTATACATACTCAGCTTCATGTGGGACACGGGTGTGCTGGAAGACAAGGGCTCCCCAAGGGCCTGCTGCAGCCCTCAAGTGATCTGAGCATCTCAGAGGCTCTGGGCGTGGCTCCTGGGAAGAAGAAGATGCCTCACACCATTGCTGAGGTTTGCACATCCACATTCGCTAACAGAATTGTAGGAAAGAGCGCTACCTCCTCTTTCCTTTGTGCTTTCTGGGCTCTCTCCCTTGGCTTTCAGGCCTCAGACAAACTTGTATCTCAGAGGTTTTCCAGCTCCTCCTATAGGCGGGAAGCTGCATGGAGAGGAAGACTGCCTCATCCTCCTCCTGCTCACAGTCCAGCAGGGGGCCGCCATGAACATTTGCGCCCTTCCTGAATGGAGAAGTGAAACAGGGGCAGTAGCTGAGGCTGGTGAACAGTGGCTCTGCACCCCTCTCCAGTCCAGGGCACCGGGCTGTGTTCTCATGGCCAGAGCACCAGCGCAGGGGATGAAAGGCAGATTAGTTTTCTCTTGGTAGGAGAAGTTATTTCCTACTTAAATAGTAAATTCAAAATGCATCTCTCTCCCTGCATTCCCATGATGCAAGGCAGGACTCTCCTGTGAAGTATCATCAAGCAGGGCTTGCACCCCACCCCATAAACCCAGGCCTCAGAGCACCGCTTTGCATTCATGACCTTAATGTAAGGCACTGTCATCCCTGAGCCCATCCCAGGCCTGAAAGCCCCACCTTCCCCCCATGTTCTAGCTCTTCCTGTGAAGGAAAAACTGTGATAAACCAGTTCCTTCAAGGACACTACATCAAAAACAGCAGGCTGACTTTCTCTCAACTCCTGGGGCAGCTCCACAACACCCAACAGGCTCTTCTTCCACACCAGCCTCTTAAGAGAGGAGAAGAGCTCTCCAGCCAAAGGCGACCTGCAACCCACAGATACCATGGGCCCAAAGCGTCCCTTGCCGGGTCCAGCTTGCATTCCCGATACAGTAGCAGATTTTGTCTTGCACTGTTTTAAGACATTATGCTAACCATTTTTTAGGAAAACTGATGTACCTTGAAACCATAATATTAAACAAAATAGATGAGGCACACATGCTTAAATGATTTCTCCTACCCAAGAAACCCAAGATATAAATAAAGAGCAAAATAAAGGATAAATAACAAGAAATAGGGAGATAAATCTTTTGCAAAAGGGAAAGGGACCAAGAGCTGGAGGGCAGGGAGGAAAGGGATGAAAAGGGCACTCCCCGTGAGGAATGTAATCACTCTGTACTTCAGACATCTACCCAGGAAATAAAAATTTAATTAAAAAAGCATTGTGTTAGTTTTTAAAGAGCCCTGTTTGTTAGCTGACACAACCACAAGAATATGTCTACTTTTTAAATTAATAATACTTTGCAATCCAGAGCAGGTCCCAAGGCCACAGGACGCAGACATCACATGTTGACCTGGGAAAGCCAGCTGGGACTGTCAGAGGCCTCGTCCTGGTGGGAGTGTGGACTCCGAGATACAGAGCAATGGCTGTGAGACTAGGGAGGCCCTGGAAGCTGCCTCGAGGGGCCCAAGAACTGTGCCGGGCCAGGCTCCGTCCCATGGTAACATCTCAACTCCTGACAATAAACACAAAGCCCTAGAGAATGAATGGCTTTTGTTTGCCTTTTCTGAGATGCATCTTAATTCAAGTACTTGTGCCCGAGTGAGTCAGAGGCAGGAAAGCCTCCAGCTCCACACCAGCTGGTACTTTTCCATGCCGTCCCCTGAATTACATAACATGGCACTTTTTTAGAAACTTGGTTCTAGTTGCAGAGACTTCTAAACTAAAATTTCAGCTTCCTGGTCCTCACACTCTCAACTTTTCCGGAGAGGAGATGCTAGGGTTTCAAGCTAGGGACAATCGCAGTGGGAGAATAATATATTCTCATTATATGTAAAAGGAATAAGGAGTTGTACCATATGCAGTTAGCTCAAAATACCTCCTTTTTATGCTGCTACTTATATACGAACAGAGTAAAGGGGTACAAATTTCATCTTGTTGAGCTTTAGAGCTGGGTTTTATCTTGTTGTGCCTGGAAAAGTTCCTCTGTTGGGGTATTTTTAATGTCACAGGTAGAGATAGTGTATCAGCTAAATCCATACTTACATGTGCATGACATACAAGAGCAGCAGAGATTTTCTATAGCAAGGAAGTTCAACAGGGACATCTTCAGACAACTGGACTCCTGAAATTAGGAGATGCTGAAGCCAGAGAAATATATTGATAGAGATGCAAGAATCAGGGTCAAAAAAGGAAATGAAAGCAAAGACCATTTCAGTGACTATCAAACTCATGTTGCCAGATAAGGGATTACAAGGACTGAATTCTGTTTTCTTGTTTCTCATCTTACTTCTTAGAATGTCTAGCTTTGCCCTCTTTACACCATTTGTTTAAACCTCCTCACACTCTCAACTTTTCCAGAGAGGAGAAAAGATGCTTGTCCCTAGCATCTCCTCTCTGGAAAAGTTGAGAGTGTGAGGAGGTTTAAACTCAGCTTTAAACCACTTTAAAAAGAGATCTAAACCATTTGTTTAAACCTCTTTAAACCTTTGTCAAAGGAACTTCTTGTTCCAAGCGACCAATTTTGGCCAAATCCCGTCCTGTGTAACCACCGTGGACACAAAAAAGCAAACACTTGATGCCAATTTGTCAACCACTTGACACAAACCCATCCACACAGTGAGGAGCATCTTCTGTCTTTCAGTCCACTTAGTCATAAGGATCACAAAGCCTTCATCACAGCCCCAAACCTTGGTCCAAAGCCAAGTGAGAACCAGAGGAAGCAAAGGCAAGGGCAGGACAGTGTGTGCCGCAGCTGCTCGTCCTGCTCTGCAGCACTCATGTCTCATTTCCTTCCTTCCCATGCTCACAGACACCAGTGTCTTATGTACCAGTCATTCCCATGGGCTTTCAAACTAAAAAAACATCACTCTCAGCTGTGTTTCTGGGCATCAGTGTCATGAACTATGCAAACAGCCACAGCTCAAGTCTAGCCTGATATATTTCTAGGTGCTTGATTTTTTTTTTTTTTTTTTGCAGCAATCATTGCAAATTCCCTTGTATAATCTTTCCCTGTGCCAGTGGGAATCCATGGCCCACAGTCTATGTTGTAGTTGCACTTTATATGAATGTTAATCTCAGACCTTGAGAAACAAACTAGTTAAGGAGCAGAAAGGCCTTGATACAGAAGTCCTCAGATCCCTGCCCCTGTTCCCAGAATAAAGACAGTTATGTATATACACTTGTTTTGCACGTACCTGAGTAGTTGTGCTTAGGGTGCTCTGTCTGTGTGATGATTGTTCCAGGACATTCACAGTTGTCCACCTCTAAAGAGCCAGACTTTGAGTTAGTCCATGGAGAGATGCAGTAACCACCCATATAATACCATATAATAGATACTTGACAGATCTTCGCTATTGTGTCAGCTAACTAAACAGGGTTCTTTTTTTTTTTGGTTTTTCTCCGGTACCGGGAACCGAACTCACGACCTTTCGCTTGCCAGGCAGGCGCTTTTGCCACTGAGCTAAATCCCCAGCCCCTAAACAGGGTTCTTAACCAAAATACCAAGCGCTCACCACACATCAAACACAGGATTAGGCACTAGTCACCAAAGGTGACCAAGACACACTCCCTGTCTCCCTCCCCTGAATGCTTCTGCGATCTACATGAGATTTGAACTTTGATGAGGCCTTGTCTATAACTTCCAGTGGTGGCTAAAGCCTCTACCCACCTTCCACAACTAACATTAAGCATCTTTTCCAAACTTTGAGTTTAGAAATGTTGCAGTATTAGCCTCAGATCAGCCATGGGGGAAAGATTCATAGTATAGGAATTGGTAGATACTACAAGTCACGATCTTATTGTTACTGATTTGATTGGGGGTTTGGGGTTTGGTTGGTTGGTTGGTTGGTTAGTTGGCTTTTGTTATTGGTGTCATTGTGGTAGTAAGGTTTCAACTCAGGGCATTGCGCACATTAGGCAAGTGCTAACACGATCAGTGTACATCCCTAGCCCTGGTATTAGAGTTTGAGGTTTTAGAATTGTTTTCTTTTTCTTTTTTACTATTAATTAATTAACTAATTAATTAATTTATAAATACCAACACCATTCTCTGAAACCATAGCATGACTAGAGTGCTTTAGCTGAGAACATATTTTTCTGCTTGTAGGGGTTGAAGTAATGCTTCACGTAAGAGATGCTATATTGTTTGCATAGTTCAAGTTGAGTAAGCTTTTACCAGACTCCAAAAGAGGAACAGAGAAAGCAACCAACACGGTTGATGCACTGCCCACAGAAGGCTATGTGGGGTCTACAGAATAGATTGGTCTGGGGCAGGCAGACTGTAAGGAAGAGGAGGAAGCTGTAGAGGGTGCAGAGTTCGTGGCCACCAGCATGAACAGTGTGAGCGAGGCTGTCCAAGTTCCCTGGGGCAGGTGAGACCAGCATGACAAAGGCGGGAGCCTCTCTGCTCTTCTTCCCGTGCTAGACGCACCATGGCAGGCTTTGCCCACGCAGAGGGACATAGGACCAAGTCGTACAGAAAAACTTACAGCTTCCATGTTTCTTCAAACTGCAAGAATGGAGAAGGGAATCTGTCTTCAGCTCCAGTTTCAATCAGAAATTCTACTTCTCTGAGATTACCAAAAACCTTCAGTGTCTCCCTTAGGTGGGTCACTTCACCCTTGAAAAGCCCTGTTCATGCCCTTCCCATTCTTCAGTAATGTGAAAGGTGAGTGGAGGAAATTCTGTACTTTTATGGCTTAAAATTATGGTTTTAAAAAATTGTCACAAAGCCCACTACATGTTTGCTAGGGTCGCTGAAATCCAGGGCACCGACAACACCAGTGCCCGTGAGAACGTGGAACGCAGGACCACTCACGCTTCCGTGGGAGGGACTGCAAAATGCTGCGGCCATGGTGGAAGACCAAGCTGTGTTTTGTGCTTTATAAAATTAAACACACTCAGCATATGATCCAGCACTCGTGCTCCTTGGTATTTACAAATGAGTGAAAACTTATGTCCACACAAAAACCCATTCCTGGATGTTTATAGCAGCTTTATGCAGAATTGTCAAAATATGGAAGCAACCAAGATGTTCTGCAGTAGGTAAATGGATAAATAAAACTGTGGAAAATCCAGACAGCAGAATAGAATTCAATACTGCGCAGAAATGAGCTATCTAGCTATGCAAAGGCACAAAGGACACAGATGTATGTCACTAAGTGCAAGTGCCCAGTCTGAAAGGGCTACGTACTGTGGGATTCCACACGAATGACATCGTGGAAAAAGAAAAATACTGAAGACGGTAAAGAGATCAACAGTTGCCGAGGACTGAGGGGAGGCAGGGATGGACGGGTGGAGCAGGGAGGATTTTTAGGGCGGTGAAACTGTGCCGCGTGACAGCACAATGGCAGACACGTGTCCTTCCGCACCTGTCTACATCCATAGGCTGTTCAACACCGAGAGTGAACCCCAGTGCAAACCGTGGACTCCGGGTGACAGCAGTGTGTCAGTGTGGATTCCTCAGTGGTAACACACGTACTCCTGTGATGTGGGAAGTTAACAGTGGGAGAGGCTATGCACGAACAGGGAAACGGGGATTTGACAACGCTGTACTCTCAGTTTTTCTCTGAACCTAAAACTGTTCTAAAAGTTAAACTGCATTCATTTTAAAAGACGTATAAACTTATCCTAGTGGAAGAGCCTGTGTTTCCAGGGGTTCTGCTCCTCCAGGCGGTGGACTCCGTGTGCCTCTGGTGGGTTTGCTCCTCTGCGCGCCTACCAGCCACTAGGTGGCGCTGCCACTCCCCCACCCGGGCTTGCAGGCTCCCCAGTAGACAGGTCCAGGGGTTCCAGGAGCCCTGTCTCCAGGGTCCCAGACAGCAAGAGCGCTAGGTGGCTCCAAGGCAAAAAGAAGCCAGAGGAGGAAGAAAGTATCAGCTCCCCGGGACAGCTACAGATTGGGTCACAGCGCATCAAGCTACCTCATCACTAATTCTTCCCTACAAAAAATTGTATTTAGATGGGCGGAAATAACAGTAGATTGGAGGGATACATTTCTCTTTATCTTGTGCATAGATTTTAAGGATGGTTTAACAATCCCCACCGGTCTGTGGCACTGATACCGGGCCCAGCTCTGAGCTAAAGTTCGGTGGAGCAGACAGGGCATGTGTGCCCCTCCCTGAGCCAGCCTGCAGAGCAGGTGTTTGCTCCGGTCTCTGCCACACACTGGGGCTTTGCTGAGCTTCAGTGGACTCACCTGTAAGGCGAGGGGAACAGTACGCCCACCCTCCCCCAGCCAATCTGAAAGATCTGCATAACCCGGAAATACTTCGCAGCCATCCTCTGCACTGTTACACTCTTCGCGCCCGCCATAGCAGCAGCTGTCTCCACAGACCGCAGTAGCTGCGGTCACAGAACTAGGCTCCCACTGGGCTTTGTACGTCCCATCATCCCTGCGCCTGGATCGCTGCAGACACTCTTCAGTCGCCTCCCGCCTGGTGCCTCTCGCAGTCCACGCTCCAGAGTTCCCAGAGGTCGGCAGCACCACGCGCGCTCCTGCTCAGGCACCTCCTCTAGTTCTCCCATCGCCTTCCAGGGGGAGAAAAACTCCTCGTCAGCAGTCAAAGCCCTGCAGATCCACACGTCTCTCCCACAGGTTGCAGATCCACATGTCTCTCCCACAGGTGGCCAACATGTGGCTCCCAGGCACCGTCCACTGCCCCCCTAACCCAACCTCTTATCTTCTTGCTTAGGTTTCCCCTGCCGGTCGTCATTCCCTTCTCTCAGCCTCCAATTTCTCCTCGTGAACTCTTACTTATCCTCCAGACTCCTTCTAAAATGACCCTTGTTCTTTAATAAGAACTTTTGTAACTCCTGTCCCCTGATTCTACGTGCCCCTGGATGCCCCCACAATCCTGTGTGTTTCATTTTTATTCCACTGCCTGGCACATCTTACAGCAATAAATACTTAGTGAACTGACTGGGCCTCGGGAGTTTCACTCAGCTCTCCATCAAAGTATAAAGCTCTATAGAAAGGTAAAGTCGGGCCGGTTTTCTGTCAGTGCCCACGCTCCCAACACAGTGATTCGCACTAACTGGGAGATCCATAAGCATGTCCTGAGCTGACATGGTGTAGAGGAGGATTTACATGAGATTAGTGACGATCTTCAGGCTAATAGTGACAATATTAAGGCTAATTGTTTAGAATTAAAGTTTCAATATCAAATGTATTCAAACCACTTTTTAAATCATTGAGGGGTCATGCTTAGTATTTGATGAGTTGTTTTTACTTTCTGCTGACAGTTATATTTCCTGCATTTAATTTGCCACTGATTTCACCACATCTATGCGTAATGTCTTGTGAGTACAGTCAATGTAAATCAAAGTTGTACAGCTTGGGGGCCTCAGTTTCTACCCATCTGCTAGTCAGCTTTCCATTAGTATAACAAAACACTTGAGAAAACCAATTTTAAAAGAGGAAAGGTTTATTTTGGGTCACAGTTTGGGTGTGTTCAGTTCAAGTCAATGGCCTTGTTGCTCTTAGATCTGCAGCAAGTGGCACATCAAAGCGGGGAACGCATAGTGGAGCGAGCTGTTGACCTCACGGAGGCCAGTAAGGACGCAGGAGGGAAGGGCCTGGGTCTCAATAGCCCCCTCAAGGACGGCTTCGGAGGCCTAACTTCCTCCCACTAAGCGCTACTTCCTGAACGTCCGCCACATCCCAGCAGCACCACAGCCTGTAACACAGAGCTTCAGGGCCGCTTTTCCAAACCACGGCACCAGCTACTTTTTTGCAGACGTTTCATGTTTGATGAGAGCATTTTTCTAGAGCAGCAGTTCTCCAGGGATGATCCTTGGACCCACAGATAAGCATCTTCTAGGAACTTACTACAAATATAGATTTGAGGCCCCACCCAGATCTGCTGAAGTAGAGACCCACAGGGGCTGGGGAGGGGAAATCTGTGTTTCAACAAGCTCTTCCGGCGACCCTGATGGGAGCTTGTTAGAGAGGCGGGATCTGGAGCCTCAGCCCACACCACTGAATCTACCTCTCACCAAGATCGCCAGGCGATTCTTTTGCACATTGGCGGTGAAGACGCATGGCTCCAGACTGCTTTGGAAGAAAGATGCCTCCGTCAGGAAGCTGTTAAACAAGAAGTGTGGAAAATTAAAAACGGTTGCACATTTTGGCAGTTCTTCCACTGAGAGGTAAGGCTCTTTCCCATCTCCTTGTACCTGGCCCCGTGAGCTGCTGTGGTCAATCAATGTGGCAACATGATGCTATCTAACCCCCAAGGCTGGTCTTTCAAAGTTCTGAGGCCTCTGTGTTCACCTTTCAGGACACTCGCTCATGGGACTCAGCCACCGCCCTGTGAGAAGTCCTTGGAGTTCCCATGGGGGGAGAACTAAGATGTTCTGGTCCCCCACTCCAGCCGACAGCCACTGGGCAGCCGCTGGAGTGAGTCATCTTAGATGCTGAAGCCCAGTGACCCCTCATGGAGAGCATTCCAGCCGAACATGGCCAACCCGCAGACTTGACAGAGACAACAAATGTTTCTTAAACCACTACACTTCGGGTGATTTGTTACATAGCAGTCTGCAAGCTAATGAGTGCATGAGTCGTGTCTCCTGTGAATCACTCTGTCCAAAGCCATTTGCTAAATTATAAAATTATAAACATGGCAACCTTTATGAACGTCTCCTGAAACTCTCAGAAGTGAACACTGTGGCTATCTGCAAGACAAAGGAGCCTGCGAGCTAAACACTGCAACAAGGAGGACCATGAACTTGTGATTTAGCAATGACATCTATGGATGAACACTGCCAGGAAAGAGCGCTCAATCTTTGGCCAGAGGCCTCCGTGCTAAGCTAACAATTTCCTCTGGGGCATAAGTTAGTCACTTGAGAATATCTTGAAGTGTTGGTACTTCTGCGAAGGAGAAATGTCTACATTCTAGAAAGAAATTCTGAAATGACACTACTCATGATTTTAGACTTACTGATAAGTCCATCGAATTGCATGGAACGCTGAACATATGCAAAGCTCAGTCCAGGGAGACAAAGGCTTTCTAAGTCAGCTGTTCTTGGCCCTCAACAAGTTAAAAAAAAAAAAAAAACGCCACAGGTGTATGGGACGTAATAAAGTGTAGTTAAAAGAATGTAAGCTGGGGGCCAAGAGACCTGGCAGCTCGTTCTGTCATGTTCTAATCAGTATCTGCTGATAGAAAGAGATAAATGCCAAAATTGTTTTTAAGAATTGCAGGTGGTTGGGTACAAACGGTCCTCAGCTGGAAGTGCAACTGCCCCAGAAACCACTGCATGACAAGCCAGTTCCTCCGTCTCTTGCGTGGGCCGCACGATTTCTCCTGGAAGAATCTTCTATCCCCGACGGCACTCCATTCTCTCTCTTCCCTCTTTTTGCACCCTCACAACTTCAGCCCACCTGGCTTTTCCATAGCTGTGCAAATGCCTTCCATATTACGACTTTAGCAGCTTCAGCTCTCATTTCTGGGTGCAAATGCCTGAGGAATCTGATTGGATGAAAGGTTGGATTAGAAACGTATGGATTAAAGGTGGGGGATGAACCAATAGAATTGCTGTGCATGGATCAGTGACTACCCCAGCCCAGGGGAACATCCCAGAGAACTGAGGTCACACATTTCACAAGACGACCGCCTAGACAGTTAGGGCTGCAAGGAAGCAGTGGTCGCAGCTGGAGGTGTGAGTAGGCAGGCAGTAACTGGCATCCTTCCATGGCTACTATGAACCAGCTGGAATATCTGGGGCAAGTCATTTCATCTCTAGCCTCAGCTTCTTCAAGAAAAGGAGGAGTGGAGCTACATCACTCAAGCTTCTTTCCTCCAGTACTAATGTGTATATTATACAATGCATAAAATAGAAAGAAACAAGATCAACCTCTTGTGCTTACAAGAGCTTCTATAAAAACTGCTGCAAGTTCGAGACCAGCCT